CATGAAATTAAAGAAAGAAATAACAAGAGATAGAGTAAGAAATGCTCATTGATAATTGAGAATATCTTCAATACAATTGTCACCCTTGCATCTTCAATCTCTCAAATCACCATCGAAATCCATCGCTTTCTCTCTCTAAAACTACTCCTAAAACTAAGCCTAAAACTAGAGAGAGAAGCTCTCAACCTGAGCTAAAATATGAGGAAAAATATATGTGAAAACTTACAACAAAAATTGGGTTTAAAGAGTATTTACATGAGACGGAAAACGAGCTTGAAATAACCCGAGAAATAGGGCCACAGCACAGGTGGGCTGCGCATTTGCGCCCGTCTAAGGTTTCTTCGAAGTTTCGCAGCTCCGTGCGCTCGCAAATGGATTCTCGTGTGTGCACGCAATATCTTCGTGATAGTCACCAAGCATGGAAGATTCAAATTAAATGGAGCTTTGATATGGATTTTAATGGTTATAACCTTCGGTTTGGGATCTTGAGTCTCGGTTAAGAAACACTAAGTAACACAAGCTTAAAACCTAAACTAGGCCAAGAATTGATCGATGGATAATAGGTCGTTACTACTACCTAGATCAAATATACAGTTTTTATCTCCTAACCTAGCTCTATCAATTTTAATTTAGATAGTGGCAAGTTAGGGTCGAATCCCAAGGAAACGGGGTTATTGCACAATCAATGCGAAATCTAGGATATATTGCAAGTGACAAAAAGGGTATTATGGTTTTTTTTAAGAGTTCTATGATCAAACTATCTACCAAAAGGGACTAAATTAAACCAACATTAAGAAGATTAAACTAGACACTCTAAAATGAAGATGAAGAACAAGATTATAGAGATAATAATGGCAAAAAGCACTAGGGAGAGGGGGTTCCAATCATGACCACAAGACACTAAGGAAAATCAATAAGGAAATATACCAAGGAGTTCAAACTCTACTCAAAGCCATTCATTCTCACACAACTACTCAAAGCAAGTCGATGAAGTCAATCAACCCTAAACTAGATCATTCTCATGCATCTAATCTAGGACTAAAACATTGGGGTTATAGGTGCACACAATAACTCCAAGCATATTTAAGCACACATCATCAACCCAAGGTAAAATCCAATCAATAATTAGTAGGAACTCAAATAAACATGATTTTCACCCCCTTCCCTAGCTAAAAATCTAAGCTAGAGAAAGGGGAATAGCCATGACAACTAAACCTAACATGTATTCAATCCTAATACAACCTAGCATGATTCTAAGTCAAAGAGAAATCAATGAAACCAATAAAGCATGGAAATTTATGGAAGAAAGCATAAATAAGAGCAATAGAACTAATAAAACTAAAACTAGAGAATAAGGAGGAAAGATCACTATTATAAATGTTGAAAGATTACCCAATCATCAAGTAGTTGCAACCATCTAGAAGAAAGCTTGAATATTTGATTACAAAGATTAAATCTTGAAGACTAAGTGTTTTCTCTCTCTAAAAGACATGAATTTTCTCTCTCTACAAAGTGTTTTGATGCCAATGGAATAGTTGATGATTGAAAACTCAAGCTCAAGACTATTTATAGTCTTCTACTATAATGAGGAAAATGGGCAAGGGAGAGGGCTCTCCGAACAGGCTGCCGCGCCTTCTCCAAGCTTGGTAAGAAGTTCACCAGACCCAGATCGCCGCGCCCGCGGCCATCAACGCCGCGCCCGCGGCTGGCCATCTCCCAGCCATCTCCAGAATCTTCCTCATAGCTCAGTAACCCCCTGTCCGCGCCCACGGCTGTGAGGCCCGCGCCCGCAGCTAGCTGGAGCAGCTTGCCCTCTCCTTTGCAGCATCTCCTCTTCCCTTGACGAGCCTCCTTAGCAACTCCACTCCTTCTAGCAATCCAAAATTCTCCCATGAGTGCTAGGAGCTATCAAAACACACAAATAGAAGGTAAAAAGTAGAAGAAAAGATAAAAGGAAACGGAAAACACGAGAGGGACCTAAAGTAACTAAAATAGGAGTAAAAATGGTAAGAAAAGGTGCAAACAAGTGACAATCGGGGGAATTCACTAGTGAAAGAGGTTGAGATGGTGGCATAAATGCCACTCATCAAGAATACACAAGCACAAGCTTACGTAAAACTTTATAAATTTCAAATCAAATAATCTCTGAATTTTATTAATGAAAATAAACATATTTATAAGGCATACATGCCATGCCAACTAGGATTTTAAAAGATAAAATAATCCTAAAGTAATTTATTCCTAAAGTGAAAATCTTAATTATATCTTATTAAAAGATAAAAATGACGCCACTCAATCTCACGGTTAATAGACGACTCAATCAAAATTAAAGAAACTAATTAAAATCGTAATCATGATGCCTTTGATCCTCATCAAGCTTATAGTGGGTTCAACACCATCGTTCATGAGAGCGCGGCTTGAGAGCGCAAGAGCTAGAACTTGGAGTATGTCGTTTCATACTTCTTCAGCTTTCCAAAAGCAATAAGCTTGCACCAAAGGCATCTTCCAACTTGGTGAGGCACCAATATCAAGATTCGAACCTCATAGAGTACCTACAACCACGAAAATAGAACAAATAAAGGAGAAAACACAAAAATAACCACAAAAGTGAACAAAAACACAAAATAAGCAAGAATAAAGAAACTAATGCACAAATAAACAAAACCAAGCATTTATTAAGAAAGAAAGCTATAAAAGAAGGTAAAAACAACCTAAAAAGTCATCAAATGAGTACCATAAATGAAACTCATCATTTAACCAGTTTAAAGCACGTTTTAGTTCAAATCATATTGGGTTTAAATCCAGTTGGATCATTATCGAGTCGGGTTAATCAGATAATGGGTAGGAATGGGTTAGGTTACAATTGAGTTAAGTCTTAAATAAGTTGGGTTTATCGAGTAATAGGTTGAAACGGATCATATCATATATATATTGGGTTACGGGTTGTAAATGACTCAGTTATAACGGGTTACGGGTTGCAAACGGTTCGGTATCAATGGGTTACGGGTTGTAAACGATTTGGTCTCAACGGGTTAAGGGTTGAAAACGGTTTGGTCACAACGGGTTTCGGGTTATAAACAGTTCAATCACAACGGGTTACGGGTTGGAACGCTTTGAGTTTATCGGATTTTTACCAGGTTTAGATAGTTTCGACTTAAAATGGGTTGAGTAACTATCGGGTTCTGACGTAATCAATTCTATGAGTTAATTATGGAGTCATGTTGAATTTACCCAACAAGTTTTCGAGTGAACCCTATTATAAGTGGTGACTCATTTAAAGTATAATCAAAGTGGACCTATACAAAACTAAATAGTCCAAATTAAGTTGTCGTACTAAAAATATGCTTAACTCCCTCGCAAGAAGGGTGGATTGCAAAAATCAAGTTACGCATGTACGTTTTTACACCATGTTTAAACAGAGGTAGAGTTGCAAAAACTAAGTTCCACAATATCATTAGCACAAATACCCACACAACATTAGAGAAACGTCAATGCCAAATATGTTGTTTCAAAGTGCAATCAAACACTAGTTTAGAAAAAACGTAAGATATATAAGGGGATGTAGTACAAGAGTTAATTTTTTGGTGTTAAGAGAGCCATAAGGGCATGTGATGATTGAGTATCGATCTCAGGATCACCTTGAATCGGGACCTGAGCTATCCCTCACTCTATATAGTACAAGAGTTATTAAAGAGTAGTATATTCATAGCGTGGAAAAAAACATGAAAGGGCCCCTATTAGATCTTTGATAACACATCTTCTAAAATCCATAGTTTTTTTAGGATGCATAGCAAAATTCTTCATTTGAAATAATGCATCTTCAAAGCATTTAGACACAAGAATTTATATGTTAGCTATTCCCACATAGCTCATCATGTGCATAATATCGCCTAATAATCCAATTCAGTCTTATATTAAAATCAATTTTAAGGTCATTATAACAAAGAAATTAAAAGTGGTGTGTGTATTAAAGCACAATAATACAAAATTATACATATAAAAGAAAGCATAGTAGCAAAATAGTGTGAAATGTTAATAACTTAAAGATATACATCATACCAATCTTAAGATTCACATAATAACATTTTTATTTCACATATCCCCTGGCCTATACATTATTATTAGTTACCGTTAGCCTTAAAACTCAATATCTTTCCAACAAAATATATAAAGAAATTGTGCTCTACCTCCTTTCCCCTCAATATTTGCTTCACTTTAATTATTCCAATACTCAGAATCACTACAACATAAACGAGCAAAAGCAACGGTCAAATGCAACGGTTAAAGCTAATGCAACGGTCTGATGCAACGGTGATAACTAATGCAATGGTTCAATGCAACGAATAAGGCTAATGCTTTGTAAGCTATTGCAACGGTCCTAACATAACCATTGCATCAGCCTATCAAATGCAACGGTATTTTTGGCTATTGCAACGGTCAAAAAATGACCGTCGCATTAGGTGTTAAAATGTGAAAATGCAAAAATGCGCCTTGTTTCCCGTTTCCAATATTTTCCGAAAATTTGAAATCCACTAGTAGAAAAAATGACAAAGGCACCCCACCTTTGGCACCGGTTTTTTCAAAACTGGTGGTTAAAAAAACGGGCGGGATTGAAATACAAGCTTTTGGCACCGGTTCCAGCCAAATCGGTGGCAAATTATCTTTTTGGCACCGGTTCAATAAAAAAGATATTTTTTTAAAAAAAAAAGGGGAGAAAGGGATTTGGCACCGGTTCGATTCGAACCGGTGCGAAATCTATTGTAAAATAAAAAAAAAAAACCCGGATATACTCTTTCTTTCTCTTGCTTTCATTTCCTCGATCTTTCCTCCTCTCTCATCTGATCTGCCTCTCTCTCTCCTCCATTGAAGCGTACTCGAATTTCTCCATTAAAGGGGCTTCTGAGCTTTCTCTCAGCACTTTCCTCAAACTCCTTCTCTCTCCTTCGATCTCTATAACCGCCACTTTCCCTTTCCTTTCATCTCTCTTTCGATCTCCTTCTCCTTCTCTCTTTGAGGTTAGGGTTTCTGGGTGCGTCTATTTTGAATCAATTCGATGTGCGTGCGTCTTCAACAACAACAAATTCGAATCGATTTCGAACCAAAAATCAGAAATTCGAGTTTAGGGTTTTTAAGGGTTTCGTCTGTTGAAGTTGGCGGCACCTTCTTGCGAGCCTTATTGCGACCTATGCACCCTTCCCCGATTTCGTTGTGGAGTTCTTCAGTTGTGCTCCATCAATCAAGGTTTTCCTCTTTCTTTTTTTTCAGTTGCATTCGATCTTAGGGTTTTTCTGGGTTTGTAATGAAATTATTGGTTTTGTTTGTGTTTTTTTGATGAAATTATCTTGTTAGTTGTTTTGTTTTGATGTTTTTTTTTTTTTTTTTTTTATTTTTTTATGGGTATCTTCTGTTTTCAATCTGATTATAGCTCGATTAATATGATTGTTGGACCATTTTTGGTTTATAATGTTTTGCTTTGATTTCATCTTATAGTGTTAAGAAATCCTACAAATTTCGGAAGGAAATTTGTAATTTCATGAAATCATCAACTTTAGTATAAGTTTGAATTCAATAGAGTTTCGATCTTGGTATTAAAATGCCTTAATTTCTGTTGCAAGAATCTAATTGGGTATGTTTGGAAATTGGGGGTTCTTATGTTCTGCATTGGATTTTTTGAGTAATTAATTTGAGCAGGAATTTTATTTTTAATAATGGAGTGTTGGTTTTTGGAATCGGGACTTTGGATTAATGCAATGGGGTGTTTGCTTTTGGTGAGTTTGGCTTCTTTGATCTGCTTGACCATTGTTCCGATTTTATGTGGTGAGTTTACTCCTCATTTTCTTTTGTTATTGGGTGCAGTGGCTTGTTTTGGTGGTCTTGTACTGTAATACCTCATATATTAGTGCAATAAAGATGTGATGAATGGTCTATATATGTTTGAAACTAGGTTGGTTTTTGTTACTTGGGAAAAACCTAATTAAGTTTCTTAGACTAAAACTTGGATTCGAGTATGTTGATAGCGAGGCTGATAAGCTTTAGAAATACAAACACAATTGTGACGACTTAAAGCTCAGAACTATAGAAGAAAATTGGATTTTCAGGTTTAAAAGATTTCTTTGATTATTTGATGATATCTGTGTCAATTATCTTTACTGTGATCTAGTGTAACTTTTTTTGGTAAGTTTAAACTTGATGCCTCATAAGGCTTAATCTATGATTTGGGCTGTGTTGTTTCGTTTTTCTATATCATTGTAGGCTTTAAACTGGAATAAAAATTAAGCTTACTTTTCAGGTTTGATCATCTTTTCTAAATGGCATCAGCAGCCTCTATAGCCTTTATGTCATATTTAGATTGCTGCCAGGGTATCCAGCTACAAAAGGGCAGATTTCCAATTGCATATGAAAGTCAAGGAGCATCTCTACTGCCAGCCTTGTCTTTCCTGTCTCTACACCATCGAAATCGCATAGGGCTTCTCAGAGCTACACGACGCCCTCCGGTAGTCTGTGCACGCCACCCCAAGAGTAAGTACTTACCCCACATATCTCTCATCTACAGCTATATTTTCATATATCATCCTTATTTCAACTACAAGTTAAAGCTTTTAGGCGGTAATATGATATTTTCATGTGGACACCCCATGAATTCCCTTATAGAATAGATAGGGAGCTGGTTTTCAACTATCCTCACTGGGTATAGCTCTAAGATTTATAGGATGTGAGGTTTATCCAAAGTCTACTTCTTGGTACTTAGTTGTGAGTACTTAGTGTGTCTTAGCCTAGCTGTCTCATAAGCCTCTGTTAACCTTGTAATGGTGAAATTGCATCACTCATATCCTGTTACTTCCCTAAAATATCTGTGTAATATCTTTACTATTGAAATCAAGTGTATAGATTTTGTATTGAGGTCTTCAGGAATTTTGGAAAAGGTTTTATATGGGCTAGACATAAGTGAGTGATTTTATGATTTTATTATTTCTTGAAATGTGTTATTACTCCAAAAACATACCATCTGATCTTTAGTGATTATCGGCCAATGTAACTTGCTCATTTTCCATAATTTAGAAGTCAGTTATTGTATATTTGGGGCCAGGGGAATTAACAACATATTTTTTAGTCTTGAAGCATGCTATTGTTGCTAGAGACCAGTAACTAATTTTGGCTTGTTCAGCCTCCTGCAGTCCTGCTTTTCAAAGTTTAGCTTTTGAGATATGAGAATAATGATGAAAAAGTAATAAGGATGATGAAAAAGTAAAGTTTGCACATATGCTTATTTTGGTGGACTTATGGTTACTATTTATCTTGCAGTTTTCTAAGGATGGTGTGAAGTATATTGAAGAGATAAAAATGAGAGTGAACCTTGTTATCCCAACTCCACCATCTCCAGAGTTCCTATTAAGGACAGGATGCCACGTGCCTGTGCGTGGAGTCAGCGGTTCGAGAAGAAGTCCGTTGACCGCCTCTGATCGATACGGTTATTGCTTGACAAGATGTCCCCTTAGAGGTAAAGTGTATAAATTATTTCTAATTTTATATTGTGATGCATTAATTATATGAATCTTACTAATTTGAAAAAATGTGCAGGTGAACTGGATGTCTTTCGGCCAGAACCCTAGTAATAGGGTACCCAGGACCCTCTACACGAGACTGATTCAGTATCGTGAGATCGTAGAGACGTACATGCCTCAGCGCTGTCTTCGCCAGCTTGGATTTGTCCAAATTGTCCCTCCTCCACCAGCATGGCCCAGTAAGGCGGTCCAATTTGCGTCGTCGAAGGAATACATCGTCCAATGGCCAGAAAGCATGATTGTCACGTGGGAGCAGTTTCCGATGGTTGCCCACCTATATATGGACTGCGGAGCTGCAGAGGCTGCCAATTGGGGTGCCTCCCATGTGTGACCACCACAACATGAAATGGTACAGCCGGCATTCGCACCCGAGGTTGATCAGAGACCTCCACCATGGCGACGACGCCAATGATGATGATGTGCCACCGCCCACTGCCGTGGATGCGGTATGTCTCATAAAACATTTATTGTTGTGTGTTTTTTTATTTTTATTATTATTATTATTATATATCGTTATTGAATTTCATGTTTTTTTGTTGTGTGTAGTGGATGGGAAATATGATGCAGCTGGGACAAAGAGTCTTTCAGGAGAGGGACAACATGACGACTGCATCAGGCAGAGCTGTTATTGATGATATGGAACGGGCCCTTGCGCAGTGGCAGTGGGTGTCAAAGAGGGATTACTGATCTGTTGACAGTTTATTTATAGAGCATTTTGTATATTATCATAGTAGTTTGTAAAATCTGACATTATCGTTTAACTTTGTAACATTTGACATTATCATTTTAAGTTTTTAAAATTCGACATTATATTTTTAGTTTGTAACGCGCAAATACTAATTAGTATGCATGCAAGATATAAATTTAGTTAAAATTAAAATACAAAAAATAAATAAATGGAATAAAAATAGCAATACAAATACAAGGTTACATAGAAAAGGTATACGCATGAAAAACTAAAAGGCACCTAGGTTGTTCCAATGACGCATCCGGTCATGATACAGAACATCCCAACCCTCTACGCTTGGTCTGCGAATGGTGTACCACCGAGGTATGATCGGTGGCACCGGAAAATCGGATGACAAGTCCAATCGAATGAAATTTCTGTATGACGACCCCAGAAATGCAATAGCTAACTCTCTTACCGGTCTGGTGACAGTCGCTTGCGAACATCTAGGGAGAACCGTGGTACATGGAAAATAAGCTCGACTATGCAAATCAAGCCCGAAATGTATGACTTCACACTTGTAGATGTTTGCAACGACAAAGAGATCAAGTGGCGTATCGAACCAATGATTTTGACCGCAAGGTCCTCCTCCCCACCGGATACGCCGCAGATAACTATCCAAGTCTTAGCCGTACACATGACGATAAACAGCTCAGTTTGAGGCAATTTCACTGTACATCAACGAACGCACTAAAGCGTAGTTGTCTTCACCCAGCTGAAACACATCAGCCACGACCCGGAATCCGCAGTTACCATTTTCAACCACATCATTCCACCCGTCCAAGTATTCCATGATGATGTTAGGGATCCTGTCCTTATATGAAAACTGATTAATATCCACTCTTCTGTTGCACATATCAATAAACACAATTAACAAGTCAACAATAAACTAAACAAACATTCTAAAAAGTAAATTAAAGTAAAGTACTGTGCCGGTTCCAAGCATATTCACCGACGAAGAAGATTGACTACGACTAGATGACAATGAACGACCACGACCACGACCACGACCACGAATGTACTCAAACGCACTCCTATTCCGCCGTGCTTGTTGACCTCTAGGTCGCTCGACCCCTTCAGGTTCCTCGTGATCCAATCATGACGTGTTGAACATGTCATGAAGTATGTGGGTAGCATTACAAATGATTGAAGGGTAACAGGAGGGCACTCGGTCAAACATCGAACGAAACTGCTCCAACTCCTCTTGTTCACGGTCGACCGTCTGTGGAGCAGCATGCTCTCCAATAACGAGAGTCTGCCAGAGATCAACATGTAACGATGCCCTATCTTGGGTAATTACGCGGTGAATGGTGCATGCACAAGGTAGTCCATGAGTCACTGATATAGCACATCCGCACCGAATAACCACTTCATCACCCAACTCCTTCTTCCTGTTGTCCTCGTTCAGAATCAACCCCAAGCAGTAGTGTGACACACGACCATGGAGAATCTTAAATATGAAATGGCAATACATCATACCATGTCACCGTCTAGAATCCTCGAGAGAGGTCTTGATGTGCTCCTGAAAGAATTCCTTCAATACACTTGGTGAAAAGAAAACCCAAATTCACTCTATGCCCTAAATCCGCCTTTGTAGCAAGCCACAAGATCCGGATTTCTTCCGAGGTAATCTTTCCCAATTCTTCCGAGGTAATCTTTCCCAAGTCTTGTTTGTTGAAAATCATGTGCCCAAGGATGCTATGAAGAAGTCTGATAGCTGGGTGCATGATTTGACTAGCCAATGAATATTTGGCATTGAAAGAATCCATTATGGAGATGCATTTCCACCACTCGAGGGGGTTATTATCACGAAGAACTTCGTGCTCAGGAAAGAACATGTCAGCGTCAGGGTTGAGGTCTAGGTGTTGGTTGAATTGGCGAAGGTTTATTGTTTCATTTTTATTGAAGAGTTGGAAAGAGATGGTGAGATCCGTCTCCTGCGGCGTGGCATTCGAATGAGGCTAGGAACTCAAGGGATGGTTCTTTGTATGTTTGATATACGTTTGCCACAAAAGAACCTAACCATAGATTGTTGAATAAGAACCAACAATCGTCATCGATGCCAAGTTTGGTTGTTGAAGGTTGGTGGTAATTTTTAATGTGTCTAAATTTCAGATTTTGCAAGTTATCATAGATGGTTTTGTGGTTTTTTTTGTGAAATTTGAGAGGTGGCAAAGGTGGTGGTGGTGGTTGTTCATCGGGTTGGGGGTTTTGGGAGGTAGAACCTTGGGGTTCCTTCCCACTCTTTCTCTTTTTTGAATTGAACACCATTTTAATAATCACCCAAGTTCAATCAAATCACAACTCAAATCACATAAACAATCCCACTAGTTCAACAAGCCTTCACAATTTCCACAATTTAAAATTCATCCAACAACACTAATCAATCAATACTACCCACCAACAATCAACAAGATCAACAAATAATCAACAATCAACCAAGCTTAAGAAGATACTTCAACACAAATTGGCATGCATACATCAAAAATCCCCAAACGAATTCATAAGAACAATAATTTATTTTTTTTTTCACCAGAGGAAAAAAAAATTGCTTAAATTTCAATTAAAACTAGAGGAGTGAAATATAGCAACAATGAGTGACCAAAATCCACTCCAACTAGCCTTAAGAAGAAGAAATCCAAGCAACCTTCAAGAATTATGCAATGGAGAAACCGTGAGATACCGAATCTTAAACGATAAATTTTCGGATTTTGATGAGGAAATTCGAGAAAAAGTGAAGGAATTTGATGATTTTTGATATTTTAGATGATTTTGTGAGGTAAGGGAGGTTAGGGTTTGAGGCAGTATGAAGTTTTAGAGAGGGAAATGAAAGAGGATGTCTAAATATGGGAGAAATAAGGAGGGGCATAGCTGCTGATGAAAAGAAGCTGGGGTTCGCATACCCGATTTTGCTCTCAACTCTACATGTTGTAGTGTTTCCAAAAGAAAGAACTTGGTTTGTCCAATATTTAACAAACTTTTTCCTGCGAGGTATCTGTTTCGGGGTTTTCTGATGTCCTGCGGGAGAGTTACAATTCCGAGACTGGAACCGGACGCCTGTACCTGCAAAACAAACGGATGCTCCGGATGATTGGAGATCCGCCTCCGACGGTCAAGTTAGTACTTGATTAAGGAGTAATTAATGCGGAAATTAAAGTGATTGGGTCTCTCTAGGTGAGAGTGTTTAATGTGTGTAATCTGCTTTTTTAGCATGTTATCTCCCTTAATGAGGATTAAGGGAGGTATTTATAACCTCGGGAAACGTGCCAATCTAGGTTTAGGTTAACCTTGGGCTGATTGGGCTTCCCTCGGAAGTTGGGCCTAGGTGACCGGTTATCCCAGGTGTCATGGGAAGGACACGTGTCGTGTCGTAATTGGTCCAAGGTGGACGGATCATTGCTTGACACGTGGCAGGCTCCTATTGGCCCATGTGACGGACACATGGCGGAACCTGATTGGTCCACTTGTCAGATGGTGATTGGTGGGAGCAAAATCCCCTAATCATTTGCCCCTCACAGGTGGCACGTGACTGGTCACGTGTTACCTGTGACAGGTGTCGCACTGTAACAGGCGACGGCCTGCTACAGGTGTCACTCGGCGAAAGGCCGAGAGATTCTCCCGCCCAAATTATGAATTCTGGAAGTGACCCTTCGCCTTCTCACTTTGCCTATATAAAGGAGTGTTGACTTCGGTCATTTTCACACTTGAGAATTTGTGAGAGAACATTCGGACCCCTGAACTTGCTCTGACATTTTGGACCCTTTGTGCCTACCGCCTGCTCTAACAAGCCGACTGCACAGGATTTTCAGAACTCCATCAACGTCACTCGTTCAGGTAACCGTCGGTTCTCTTACTCTTAATTTTCTCTTTACTTTATTCTTTTTTGAAATGGCACCACGGAAGCACACGACACGACCTAGGTTAGTGATCAGCCGGTCACCGGGGACGGCTGAATCTAGGACTAGGAGTGCCGCCTGCCCTTTGCCCTTTATACAAAGTCCGACTGTATCTGTGTCTATGCAGAGCATGATGGCCAGGACAAAAAAGACTGCCAGGATCTCAAACTCAGACGGCTCCTCCCACAGGGTGCCGATTAGTGAAACATCTGACCAGGCGCCAGATGTGGAAGTGAAACAAAGCGGCTTGGAAGCCGGCAGTTCTGAGGGAGGAGTCAAAGTGACCCCTTCCCATTTTTCAGTTGACAATTCTACATTCTCTCCTGCTCCTTTTAAAGGAGAGGAGGTGGGCCCCTCCGGGAGAGGAGAGGAGTCGTCCTCTTCGGACTCGTCAGAGGACGATTCCGAGTCTAGCTCTTCTGGCCATGCTTCCCTGGACACAGAAGAGAAAAACAGTCGCCTACAAGAGGCGAGGCTTTCTCACGCAGTTGAGAAGGGGGACGATTGGGCGGAGCCATCCGCCTCTCACCGAGAGCAAAATACCCCTACTACTGCACGGTACCTCGGGGCCGGATCACAGCCATGCAAGAGAAAGTGGAGAGCTTTATTGCAAACCACACAATGGGCCCCGGCTTTTTAGTGTTCGTGCCGGATCCAGAAGACACAGTCGTCTGGCCGGCTGGTACCAGTTATGATGGCGCCTGCTTTGGCTGCTACGAGGCGGCCATCAAGGCTAGGCTGCGCTTCCCACTACATCCGGCTGTTCAGCGGATCTTGGATGGGTATGAGTTGGGGTTATGGCAGTTAGCCCCGAACTCCTGGGTCAACGTACTCGGCTATGTGGCCGGGTGCGAACTGCACGGGGTGGAGCCGAGCTTCGAGGCTTTCGCCCACATGAACTACCTCAGCCAGACCCCTAAGGCAGGCGGTACCGGCTGGTATCAATTGACGAGCCACAGGGGCTACCTCATGACGAGAGGTAAAGCAAACAAATGGAAGGACTGGCGGAGCACCTTCCTCATCATTGAGAGTTCAGACACAGAGCTGAACAAGCGCTTCAACAGGTGGAACAGGAATCCGCCCCTTCTTGCAGGCGGCCGCAGCATGCCGCCTGTTCCCCCCAAGGCTAAGAAAGAGATCCTAGATAAAGGACTCTTCAAAGTAGAGTCGAAGGTGAACTCTACTTCAGGGGTACGAGAGCAAGTACCCCTGCACTGCGTCCCGAGCTTCAAATGGCTCTACGACGAGTACTTTTTGGCCGCCTGTGGCCTCAGCAGTCGGTGCT